CCAGGGACAGCTCCTGCCGAGCCTCCCGTCAGCCCCGCCATTCCCTCGAGTTTGGGATTTTGAGTGCATAAACACCCCTGCTCTCCCAAAACCTGGAATGGCAGAAACTGCCATACAGAGCCACCTCATAGGGTTTTTTTTTCTTTAATGTGGCAAGCTGAATACTCAGGACTAATAAACACTGCAGGGGCTGAGCCGGTGCTGTGCAGAGTTGTTCAGTGCCGCCTCCAGCACGTCCCGCGCTGCCTGCAGCGTTGGGTGCGTCCAGCCCCACGCACGATACCAGTCACCAAATGCTCTTTCGTTCACTGATCCTTGTATTGGAGGCTTACCAGTCGTTGTTGCGTTTTAGCTCTTTAAGGGTGGATGGCATCTTGCTTCCTTGATACATCTTCTACAGTTTTATTGTATTAATACCTAAAAACTCAGGTTGAAGAATTCTGCTACTACAAAAGTGCAGAGCAAAACATGACGATACTGATTTATGGTGGAAGCGGCAAAGAAGAAAGGTTATAACGCTTGGCTGCCCATTTTAGAGTTACATGGTGTTGGGCTCTGTGCGCTGCAGAGCCCGTGTGAAGCGATCATCCTGTGGTCCAGAGTAGGTCAGTCCAGTGCCAACTCGGTGCCTCGCTGCCCTGCACAGAAGACTTTTCTAAGTACTTTCAACATTAATTAGGGGAGCTGAAGAAGGAGATACTGGTAGTGTGGAAAATGTGGAAGTTTTACTGCTTATTTTCAGCTTCAGTGCAGCTTTTTATTTCTGTTCTGTATGAAATCTGGCAAGCCAGTGGAGCACCATTTTCCCTGGAAGGGTAAAACTGCTTTTTTGGCTGCCACGTTGTTACTACGGCACCTCAGAAATAACTGGGATCCAGGTTTTACTGTAATTATTGTGCTTTATTCATGTCTCAGATAATAAGCGCTATGTTTTTCAATGCCTGCTACATTATGTAGTCTGCTTTTGAATGCCAAGATTAGCTGTGTATAATCTGCATAGTAGGAATCTTTGCAGTTAGTAGGTGGGGATTTTATAGGGCCAACTAGAACAATCTCTGGGATTTAAAGAGTCTGAGTCATTACAGATAACCTTTCCAAGACAGTTAGAACTTGTCTTTTCAGGTAATGTATCTTGCATTTAAGTGTGCTTTAAACACAGGCTCCTGTACAGTGTTTAAATGAGGATCGCCCTTCTCTTCTATAAACCACCCCTGCTCCGAGCGGCAGTTCTGTTCCGCTTGCACAGCTTGAACTCGCGAGAGACACGGATGACTGTGTCCAGTGAACCGCTTCTTTCGTAATATACAGGCTACGTAACCTTTTTTATTGTTACTCTTTTCTTTCCTAGCAGCCACCCATGTCACAGCAAGCTTCTCTGCAGCAGGTGCTTGCCAGCCAGCCGGTCTGCCCGATCCAGCCCGCGCCCCATCTCTTGCCCCCGTACCAGCCGCAGAGCTCCCCGGTGGCAGCCAGCAGCACACCGCTGAAACCCCTTCAGATTTCTACCGTGCCACAGCTTCCCCCGGTGGCCCCTTCCCAGGTAACAGCTTTGAAAACTACCCCTGAATACATCCCTTTGAGTAAAGCTTTCCAGCTAATAATTAACACGGTTTTCAGTTTTGGTGTGGCTATTTTGACTGCATGACAATTTAATTGGTCAATAAGAATATAGCTTTTTCCTAATTCCTGTATTTTTCTTTACTATTTGTTTTTGTTTGATGAAGCAAAAATCATCTTTGTGAACAATCCTGTGTCATGCCTAGAGAATCCAATTAATGGCAGTTACAAAATTGCAATAACTGCTTTTTTTGTTTGTTTGTTGTTTGGTTTTTTTTGCACCTTCCCCTCTGGCACACTCTCTTCCCCATCCCAGGCTTAAGAGCATGAGAAGTTGCCCTTTTTTTTTTTTCTCTTTCTGAGCTCCCCACATCACCATGTTCCCCATCGCCCGCCCCCCTCCCTAGCCCTCAGCCCTGTCTCTGGTTTTGGCAGCAGGGACAGACCCTTGCCTTGGCCTGGCAGGGTTTGCTCGTGCTCTTAGTGCATTTGCTAGTGACCGCCACCGTGATGTGAAGCGGCTTGCGCCAAAGAGAAGCAGCAAGCAGCTTCCATGATGACAGGGTAGTTACGGTCTGCTACGTCACGGGGAAGTTTTGATTGTAAAAACCCTGTTTTGGGATCTTCCGTGCTGCCTGGGTTGCAGCCAACCTGTTTAAAGACAAGGGTTTTGAATTGTCTTACTGAATTTTGCATGAAAGAGTTTTTGCATTTTGCCTGGTCTGATTCCTTTTCATTGCTGATAAAATGAAAGCAGCTTTTGATTAGTATGTTTCTTGAAGGCTTCAAGCTAGTGTTAGAAAGAGTTTTAAGCTTCTAAGGTATAAAAACATGTCCCCCGAAATGGATTATTTTTTTTTAATGATTTAAGCATAAATCAGTTTTTATTACTGTTTATAAACCTCAGGAAATGAATGGAAGTGATTAACAAACAGACATAATTATCATCATGGCACGGGTGATTTTTACGTACTTGTATGGCAAATGAAACTGCTTTGTACCGTCAGTGAAAGCACTTGCAATTTATGTGATATTATATTTTTTTCAGATTCCTCAGTTTCCTGTCATTCCTGCAATTACTCCTCTGGCAGGACTTGACAGCCTTCCTCCAAACCTCTCTGATATACCTGCTGCAAACGTGCCCCCCATACCTGCTCCTTCTCAGTATTTTGCTCCAGCCGTGATTTTACCCAGCCTCCCCATGAACCCCGCTCTGCCTATGGCACCGAACTCCCCCGCCCTCCCCATGCAGGCAGTCAACCTTCCTCATACGACCGTGGCTTCTTTGGTCTTACCCTGCCAAACAATAGTGCCAAATATGTCAGCCGCGACGATACCGTTGCTTGCTGTGGCTCCGCCGGGAGTGCCGGCGCTGCCACCGCATCCCGGGGTGCCCCAGCTGCCCCAGCAGCAGATGTACCAGACCGCCTTCCAGCAGATCATTCAGAGCGAAGCGCCCTCTCCCCATCACGCGCAGAGCACGCCAGCAGTGTCCCAGCCGCAGCAACCGCCACCTCCTCAGGCGCTTCAGCCGAGCGTAATCCATCCTTCAGACCAGACTTTGCCTGCGCCCGGGGCTGGTCACCAGGTAATCCGCCGGGCGTGGGCAGTGTCGATGCTGGACCGTAGGGTGGTTACTGAATGCAGACGATACCGGGGGCTCGCTCCGGTGCAAACACGTGCCAGGGAGGTCTTTTTCCTTGCTCTTAAGGTGTTTTGTTAGCTTCCTGACCTCGGTCCTGGAGGTGGTTGCTGGTGAAGCAGGTGAGGTCTCAGTCCAGGGAGAGGGGACTATGAAGGCGTAAGAAATACTCAAACGGGCTTTGGAAAGTGAGCAGACAAGAACACCTTTGAATTGCCTCTTCCTTCTCCCGCCCCAAACACGAAACATGTGAGCTGTCATTCCCCTGTGGCAGGAGAACAGTCAGAGCCGTGCCAGCAGCTGCGCAGCCCCACGGCCACCTTTGCATGATGCATAGGCTGGTGCATGCTCCTGGCAAAACACGGGCGAGCTGGCAGGAGTGAGAGAGTTGTTTTGATGTAGAACTGCTTTAAAACAGTAAAGGGGAAAACGGCCATTCGATAACAACTCCAGAAAACCGCATGGAAGAGGTCTGTCACGCAAGAGTGACGACCCCTTTCCCCCTTAAAAGGAACGAAGTGTAAATTGGAGCTTCCGCTGTTGGCACCGTTTACAAGGGAACTGGATCAGGACTTGTTGACAGAGTCTGTAAATACTTCTATTGCCACATCTGTGATATGACAACATGAAATGCAGTCTGACCCAAGCAGGAGGGAGCACTAAATCTGTTAATAATAGCATTCTTGAAAATCTGTGTTCTACTACATCGCTTTGCCATAACATATTGATTAAAATTCATAACATCCCATTTCAACCTGCCATATCGTGGCATCTTCAAAGTAGTAGTACATCATTTTTAAGTTTCTCTCTTCAGCCGTATATTTGGTACGGAAATACTGTTTGTGACCAACACAACAACACAGAGCCTGAGACAGTTGCCGCTGAGCTCGTTAGCCGTAGTGTTTCCAATGGCTTTAGAGGGAATTGAATCAGGGCCCTTACGCACAGCAAGCGTAGCACGCACCAAAACTGGGAACTGATACTCCCAGACCGCCCCGACACAGACATTATCTATGGAATATGCATGGCAGAATTGCACAGTAGTTTTTTTAGGATAAAAAATAACTATTAGAAACAAAATGGACAAGTCCAGAGGAATATTCAAAAATACATTGTTCTGTGTTTTAAAGTACTTTTAATGGGGAGGTATTTCTGTAAATAAAGGCTTTCCAATGCAGCGCTGTTTTGGCAGTTGATGTTTAGCACCTCTGAGTTTTGCCCAGGTAAATTATACATTCAAACATTTTGTGAATTATTCTAGTTATGCAAGACTTAAAAAAAAAAAAAAGTCACTGTTCTTCTGCAATGTACACCACAGTTGCTATTCTAACAACCTCCACTTAGGCAGTCGCGTAACTGTTGTGTGTTGCGAAGCAGATCGCGTCTTTATTTTCATCCATGTTAAAACCTAGAATAATAATTTTGGCTCCTATCCAGAATCTGCAGAGAGCATGCAGTAATGAAATCATGTGGCCTAGTTCTCATCTGAGTCTTGATATTTTTTAAAAAAATATATTCTCCAAATAGTCTAAATCTCTATGTGATGATACTTCAAAAAAGTAAAAATTAGGCAGAGTTTCGCCTAGTACAAAAAAGCCTTTTTTCTTCCATATTTTCCTTTCTTTCCTTTTTCCTCTTCCCACAAGCTCAGTCCCCTTGGAAAAATACACGATGTACCTAAAAGGAGGATGTTCTGTTCCTAAATGTACAACTCAACAGAACTGTTACACAGAATAACAGCATAGTCTCTAAGGTAGTTGGCGGCTAATCGCATCCGTCCAGTTCCCACAACATGCTTACACACGCGAGTTATTTTAATGCGCTGAAGAAATCCACTGAGATAAATGAAACTCCTTTGGCACGTGTGGCACAAGGAAGCCTTGGCAGGACTGGGGCCTTGGTGCTCAGCCTGTCCAGAGTTGTGTCTTAAATGTTTAACCCAAATGGAAAACAATGTATTCCGTAAGACCCTGGTATATATTCAGTAAAAAAGAGTTATTGTGTGGTCTGTACCAGCTGCTGGTTCTACATCTATGTAGCAGATTTTTAGATTATTATTTAGATTATGGGTAGAGTATATTTTCTCTCTGCATGGACATTGTGGTAGGCTCATGGAAAGCAGAGCAAACTATTCAGGACAATGAATTAATAATCTAAGATTTTGATTTCTTAGCAAAATATGACTTTGTTTCTACAAATTAAATAGCGCCTACAAATTAAATAGAGCAATATGTTATCATCATTGCATAGGAAGGGTCCTTAGATTTCTATTTGGTCATTTCAAAGCACGTTTAAACTCTTCAGGAGTTACCTTTCCAAGCAGAGACCACACAAGTACAGTCTCACTGCAGAATTACCATCCTTTCTCTGAGAACTCCGGTGGCTTTAGTACCCTGCGCTCTGAGCAGAGCTTTGTTTTAATAGCTCTCTGTTGCATTACAGCAGATGACTGGACACATGCAGTACGCTTTGGAAGCTGGAGCCCAGGTGCCCGTGCTGCCGGTGCAACCTTCGATAGTCATGTCACCGCCTTTGCAGTTGCAGCCTGAACTGTTGCCTCCCCGCGTCGCTCCAGAAGGCATTTCCCAGATTCATGGCAGCCTTGCTACGGCGAGTCCGCCTGTCCCCATAGATCACTGTCTGCCTCTCCAGCCTTCTGGTCTGCTGCAGCTTCAGCCCGAGCTCCCCCAGCCGCTGGGTCAGCAGCTCCCAGCTCCCTGCTCAGCTCGCCAGGCAGTCGCGGAGACATCTCAAGAGGTAGAGCCGTTTCCTCTGAAGTAACTCACCAGCTTCACCCTTAACCTTCTTTCTTACTCCTCTGTGAAATAATGGGCTTATTTCCCAAGGGAGATTATCCCCGCTCACCGTACAGAGCCGCTCATCTGAGATGCTAGCAACTCTGGGTCAGCAAAAAATTGGCTGTTTCAAATGAAGCTGGAAACTGCATGTTGTACCTTACGAAATGTCTCCCTGAAGTAGCGAGGCAGCGGCACTAAGTACCTCTGGCCATAGCTGGGCACGCACAGAGCTAGAACTGACTTTAAGTGCTGTGGGTCAGTAAGAAGCTGTTCTGTAGAGTTTCATCCATGTTTTGTCCAGTCTTGTTTTAAATGTCTCAAGCACTTGTGCAACCAACCATCATTTGTCTTCAGAAACTATTTCATAATCTGACTCTTCACGATGTAAAAGCTCTTCATGCACCTCAGCTTGAGCCTTATTCTCATTTCATTCGGCGTTGTATCCTCCTGTATTGCCTGAATTCTAGTCTAGCCCCGGGATTTTTGTTTCTTCAGATATCCGTAGGCGTTCCTAATTCTCAGTGGTCATATAAGCAAGATACATTGTATTGTTGTTCTTTATAAAACTGTCAGCTCCTCCTCTCTGCTATTTTGACTTTTCTTTCCACTCCTGTAACTGTTTAACCTTCAGTCTTGACAGAATGTCACAGAACATTTCCTTCCCTTCAACTCTTCAATAGATCTCCATAAGCAAAGCAAAACAAAGGTTTTGGCATTCGTACTAGATTTCAGTAGGTCTAATTTGTTCTCCGCTTCTGAATGGAAATGTCCCTCAGCAATTCTGCTTTCAGAATTCTTTCTCTGGAGGCTCTCTGTTCTGAGCTACCTTTCGTCCCAAAGTAACAGTTTCCATTTTTTCAAACTAAATCTCTTGTTTTAACCCATGCTTTCATGCACTCGTCACATGCCTTGACCACACAATGCAGCCTATGAATTTCCGGAGAGGTACAGCTTCGCCCCGGAAGACGTTCAGCAAGGATGCTGCTAACGCTGAACTAGATTCTAGTTCCCCGTTTTGCCTGTCCTTCTCGTGGCAGGCTGAGTCCTGCGTACCCCTCGCTCAGGGCGTTTCTCCTCCTGCTGCCTTTTCTCTGTACGTGCAGCTCGCGTTGGGTTTGATGCTGAAGCTGCAGCCTTCCATCAGAGTCCGTCCCGTTAGAGACTCTGGACATGTGAACCCCCCCCACGTTGTTGTTGTGCAGTGTGATTTGGGGGATACAAGTTGTCCTAGGTTACCTGAGAAATCTGTGCTCCTGAGGCACTTGTCTGTCCTGTCGCTGCATCATGTCCCTAGGAACATTTCACCACTGTTTTGCTCACTTCATTCTCACTTCTCATCGGTAAGAAACCAAGCCCGTATCATAGAACGGTCAAATTGATCAACGTGCTCCCCATGCTGATGTTATGACATATATTGCTAAGGTTTTCGTGGGTGTCAGAGGAGTTTCATGTCTGTATATATTTGAAATGCTGTGCTTTGTTGCTACTCTGCCGTCACGCTTTTTTCTCTTACCTTTCTTTAAACGTGTGGCAGCGCTCACATCCAAACCGGTCTGGACTGATCAGGCAAATGAGATTTTCTAAGGCACTTCACCAAAATTTAGATACATTATGTCTGTGTTCTCACTGTTCATTAATTTTGCGGTTTTACAGAAACCGCGGTCCAGCTTGGCATGGCATACGTGGGGTGTTACCAGCAACGCCTGGGGTCGACTGGTTAACCGCTAAGCTTTCAACTCCAGTCTACCAGCTGCTTTGGTATTAAGGTGTAGCGATGACACTCAAGGGGCTTGTTTCTAGCTGCGTGTCTATAGAAGGATTTTATAGACATCTGTTTGTAAATATGTATAAATATATATACACAATTATATATATTTATGAAAATATATTTGGGGTGCGTGTGTATACATATACAGTTATATACGTGCACTGGTGTGTGTGTGTCTCTGTACGTACATGGTAAGTGTGTTGCAGTAGGGCGAGTAGCATCGTCATCACAAATTTGGTGAAAACAGGTCTACCGATGCGAAAGTCATGCTGTCGATGTCAGTCCTAGCGTTGCAGCCTTGAGGGAAGCCTTCAGGGAAAATTTCTGTTGTGTAGAGAGCGAGGTGATGTGGTGTAAATTATGAGTTCTCATCTTTCATTTGTAAGTTCCCTGGAAATATTCACAATAAGCCAAATACAATGAAAATACTTCACGTATTTCAGGAAACCGTACAAAGCAATGAAGCAAATGAGCTTATGCTTTATATCCATGCAAAAATAAAATTAGGTGCTGATGTGGATTTGATCTGCAATCGAGTTTTTCTGTTGTGGTGAGAACTGTTTTGTTTCTATCACCACCTCTTCTGCTTTAGGGGCAGCAGAAGGGCAACAGCAGATCAGAGCTCTGCCTTCAAAGGTGGTCATGCACAGATGCTGATGCTTTGGACAGAAGTAAAGTTGGGAGGGTAAAGTGGGACGTTTATTTTTTTCCAAGTTCCTAGAATTGGTTAAACAGAATGGTTTAGGATTGCTGGTGTCTCAACAGCAAAACCTTTCTTAAAGGTGTTTTTCATCTGCCAATACAATGCATTTACTTAAATGACTTTTTCTTGCATTTTAGGAGCAGGCAATACAGGACAAACTTCAAACTCTGTCTCAGAGCTGTGAAAGGTATCATTATCATCTCTTTGCCGTAAGAAATGTTTTCTTTCTGGAGGCTGGTTTTCC